AGCACTTCCCTTAGCTTCCTTTCCAAGGTGGAAGTAACTACGCCGTATGAACAACTGAAGAAGGGTGTGGACTCGTTGCTCAGCCGGTATTGCGTGCGCCGTAAAAAAGCGTAGGCACCATCCATGCTGGGATTTGAATCCCGCTGAGGCTACTGAACTTTCTACAAATAAAAACAAAAGGTATAATTTTAATTTCAAGCTGGATTCCTTAGGATTCAACTAGATGTGGACAAGGCGACGAACTAGTCGCGCACACACTGGTTAAAGAAAGTAACATTGACAGAGGGATTACTGCCCGAAGCGCTGCTCACAGTAATGCAGTATATTTTCCACCAATTTGTATGAAAATTATGTAACAATTTGGACTACAACTGTACATTTGAGTTGACCTGGCAGGGGTCAGTGATTTCGGCTGCTACCTGGAGAAGTTCCAACACCCAAACTAAATGCCTAATAAGGCTGGTTAGGCCAGGCTTTCTAACTTGGTTCTGTTTTTACTCATTACATAACGATCCAATAAATAAAAAGCCCACTTGCTCTCGCAATCCAACGACAAAACCTCAGATTGCATTTACTAATATTCGAGGACTTATACAGAACATCGGCTCCGATCACCACTTGCTGCAAAATCCACGTCCAGTGACATTATCCGTCTCTATGCTCCTAGCTTTTCTCTGTCATTTATTTTCCTTTCAAGCCAATACTAGTCTTTTAATCCACAACGCCATCGTTGCCTCAGAGATGTAGTCCAACAACAATACAACACTGCCGCTACGACCCACCCGGGTTTCGGGCAACCATTTCCACCATCAATTCTTCATTTTCCAAAATGATCCCATTGTAACATCAGAACACAAGTCTTGAATTCTTCATTTGCTAACACCAGATTCAAGATCCAAATCGTAGAGATTCCTTCATGTAACCTTAAAGAGAATGAGATTTAAGTAACTGTCGCTCAAACAGCAGTATGGCTGACGCGGACTTGATACAATTCGGACAATTGGAATCAATTATAGTCAGAACATGAATGAGCTTCAACGAAATATTGCGATTCATGGTTTGTACCGGTATCTTATTGACCGGCTGCAGATGAAGAAGAACGGCAAACCAAGCCGATTAACCTGGTATTATGTTGAGACGGCTTTACATTACACCATATTGAGTAAGAGATCGCAACAGGATGGCCAAATAGCCTGCATTCCAGGTTGGTTCCAAAATACAGCAAGCAGTACGCCACCATTCCTCGTAGAGTAGCCACGTCTTAACAGCGTCATACGGGATAAGCACAAATCTGAGTTTAAACCCTAAGGCGTCAACCCAGTTTCAGTTACCACAATAGCATTCATTCAATAAGTTTTCCAACTCGGGAAATTTGTTTGGGAAGAACTGTAGATTGGTACAGAAACGACATAGACGTTGATATAACCGGACCTGTTAGGGTGAGAACTAGTAAGTGAGTCGAACGCTTCGTAGTCGACTAGCGAAACCTTTTGAAAAACAGTTTGTTGCGTCTTTTCTGTAGGAGGAAAAAATCTCCGGTGATTCAGATGTAGTAGCAAGGCTTCCGGTAGACAACCTTTGAGTTCTGAATTCATTATGAGTCTCAAGTGGACCGTTGTTCCTATTTTTGTACAATGAAATCATAGCTATTTTTGGTTCCAAAAATTCTATGAAGAAAGGGGGGCAGATAACTGCCGTAGAAAAGATTTGATATACGATGAAATTTTGGAAACAATAGTCAGCTTTTCCAATCGTTTTGTTTATATTTCGATGAGTGTTGCGGGAGCATGCTCAGCTTCTCGTACGCCAGCAGAATTGCACGGTTGATGCATGCGCTCAGACTACAATCAAGTGGTTCTAATCCTTACTTCCCTCAAACAGCTCCCGAGGAGAAAAAACAATGAAAGAATGCTTGCTACATCATATTCGTTTAGAAATATCACTCTAAGTAACCAGGGGTTGCAAGAATTTTGTATCCAATAAAGCAGTATAAGAAATTAAACATGCAAAATGAGTCAGCTGAAAGTAGATTACACACGGGCTTTAGAAAAAAAGTTGAACTGAGAGTGCAAAAGTAGGGCGCATGAATGATACGTAGATAAATGATAGACAATATAGAAAGGTTTGTTTTGTTCCCACATACTTTAAAGCGCTTTTCTATGAAGAAAATGTGGTCCGTGAGAAAATAAGCCGTTGGCATAGTGAAACTATGAAGAGCACACTGGAAATAAGACTAGGTGGAGTCATTCGTCGGTTTACTTAATAAGTGATTTGAAATGATCAGACTTGAAGGATATTATAAAATGCAATCGCCTCCAAAAACCCAAGTATCGTCGGGGGTGGGCGTATCGGGTTGCGCTTGGTGACCCATCTAGTGCACCTCGCGAAATGCTCCCATACGACCAAGCACCTCGAATAGCCTCTGCTAAGAAAACCCTACTCAATGTCTTCTCGTTGCGGAGGTGAGAGGACAATAAGCCAACATCCGGGGGCTATAAACGGGTCGCTGAACTACTGGTAGTTTACCGCGGGAAGTTGGTTAAAAACGGTAATTCTAAGCCAACCAAGAAGAGGCATACGAACAACACACCAGCGGCATTGGGTATCGAGGTATATTGGACATCTTGGACGTTTGACTCTTCCGACAGGTGTGTGGTCCGATGAACTGGACACCGGTCCTAATGGATTGCGGATTTTGTCCACCTCCCTGCTCCCTTGTGAATCAGGCTTTGGCTAACCAAAGGCTCTGGTAGTGAACTCCCTAAGAAAATACATTTGTGTTGGCCAGAGGAAACCTAGCAGTAACGAATCATGGACCTTTTTCAATCTTACAAAGATTATCGTACCGTGATCTGTTTTGCACGCAGTCTGAACTCAGGTTTGTGTGAAAATGAATAAAATGAATATCATGTGATCACAAAGGGACATATTCTAAAACAGCTTTGAGTACGGGTTCAATACCTGTTGTAATTGGCACATGGAGCAGTTGTACGGTGCTTCCTTGCTGTTCAGTTCACGCTTCATTTGTGTACGAGGAAATCCACCACGTATTTATTTACAGCAACGAAATGCCGTACCGAAGAACATAAGTGAATAAAAGCGGAGAATTCCAGATTCCAAGATGATTACATATGAGACTAAAAGTAACAGTTCGGAAAAACTTAAGACCCTCCACTAGGAGATGAGACCTGAGATAAGCCATTCGGTTACAACGATTTGAAGTGGGTGATGGAATCAATGTGACTCATTATTTGCATGTGAAGATAAGCCCCGAAGTGTTGACAGGCTGACATTAAACTATTTTCACTACGAAGAAAGTACTTTAGAAAGATGTAATACATGTCACAACAAATTGTATTTTACACATGAAATAATCATAGAGGTCACAACATGCCAGTAGGCAATAAACAACGTGTACAGTTCACTAGTGTAAGTCACAAACGATATACATGGACTGCGGTGCGGTTAGCGATGCTCCAGGAACACGTAGATCCATTCGCGGCATCATCCGATATCCCATGTTCATGATCATTAGGTGTATCCGTGTGAATAGTGATCGTTGCGTAGCTCCCAGAGGACTGACCCCGGGAAACATGACCGGGATTGATGCACAAAACACCATCTACATCCTGTACACAAAGAGAGGATTGAAAAACAGATGTTCGGATCAAATGAAAAATTAAGTAGCAACGTTGAATCACAAAACTAACATTGGATCTACAGTGATTGAAGCAACATACTTGAAGAATGACAACCAATTTGTAAAACAAAAACCGCGAATAAAGTGATCCCAAACCGATCAGTGAGCTCATGTGCCAGACAGTCCATCGATTGGTGAAAATCCGCGAAGGAGCGACGTTCTATTGATTTTTTCAAGTTCTTCCGAAAGTCCTATAAACGTTTTCAACACTCTTATTCACACCTAATTGGCTACGAAACAAACTTTTGGTTTAAAAATATCACTCTGTTTTAGAACCATATGGAATTGCCACGAGACTGCATTCTTGAACCATCGCCTTCCGATAATGTATCTCGTCCGAAAATTCATTACTTATTCAGTTCAGACAACCATCAACCATGCACTTTCGTGCGCCGGTTTTGCTTGCTGTCTTTAGATTACCCATTTGGAAAAAATAGCTAAGTGAAGATTGGAATATTGAGAGCAAATTCAAGCGAAATATTGCGGATTTATATAGACTGAAGTAACAAGAATAATGAGTAGATGCATGAGCGCCAATGTTTGCGACATCTAGCCATATCGCTCAGTGTCTCTAACCATTAGTGACCATGATCTCGGGGTCCCCAGCCAGAGAGCCTAAGGGGACCTAGGTGAGCCACTCTCCTGGTCAGGGTTTTCATATCCTCATGCCAGGTCTTAGCTTGACCGCCCTTCATTTCTTCCCAACCGCTACCTGCTTCGGCAAACATCGCTCGCTGTGGCAACCTATTTGGTAACATGCTGGCACATGTCCCAACCAGCGTAATCCATGGAGGTCGACTACCTGTTCCAGGGGACGCTTATTTATTAGGCAAAAAGTATGGTTATTTATAGGGAGGAGGGAGAACGCGTGAATACTTATACCAAACGATTGGTTGATTAGGTTGTTCCCAACCGTCTTGTTTGGTAGGCAGTTCAGACCAATCACCTGACTTCAGCTATCATTGTTCTGGTGGTTTATTTCGGAACAAAGCAGTTTTCAGGGAGCTTGTGGACTTCCTGATACGCTTAATGTTTAAATTATGTTTTTGTTTCAAATCTTTAGGTACAAATATTTGAAATTGTAAACGTTCAATACATACTTAACTACTGCAAACATCCGCAATATAGTGTAAGTTCCTCGAAATAAGATGTATTTCAAAGCAGAGTGAAGCCGCAATAAGCGAATGGCGATATAGCGGTTTTACATAACTCTATAGACCGCATTTCGTTTTCTCGTTGCTGCATATGTAACCAGCAACAAGAACCGCGAAACCCATCGTGTGGTTCCAGGGAAATTTTGTCCAGACATTTACATATTACCTATTATAAAATATATATTACACCAACGGGAAAAGGAAATGCAGTTTACAGAGTTATGCAAAAACCGTATTAATTCACAAACAAATCGCGTAAGAAGTCAGCTTTGCCGTCTCTTGGCTCACTATTATGTGCAACTAATATTACCTATAACTGAAGAGTACGCTCTTGTGTCGATGACACCCAACCCTCCTGATGAGATACGTAACTGGTAAGGCACACATTAATTCAGAGTTACTTTTTTGATTATCAAAGTGCTTCATTAGAAATAAAGTGAAAAGAGCAAAAACAATTGAAGCAATCTGAGACACATACCTTCACGAACTGCCGCAAACGTGATGGGCAAATCAGACAATGGGGTGCCGAAGAAAGCTGAGCACGTTGCGTCCAAAGGACGTAATCCAACGGCAAATCGTCCGCCGGAGGATGGACCGGATAAAAAGTTCGAGAGGATAGTATATGCTGACAGAGACGGGCCATCCGATCACCGGAACACCTGAGCATGGTTGAAAACAGAAGGTACGATAGCAAGCATACTGAGGGTGAAACCACACGTCAAAACTATCGCCGATAATTCGTTGGCTGCGACGAACATCAAGTAAATTAATCTAAGTTGGCCTTCAGTGAAAAGTTCAATTCCATTCAGTTGGGTTGAATGGCTGCGATACAGAAATGGTCCAGATGAGTAACGAATGATAACTGGATGACTTTTAAAACGCATGATTCAAGTGGAATGTAGAATACATAGAGTACGCCATTCAAGCATGGAATCCATGGCTGCAACGCGATCCGAAGATTCTGGAACGTGCACAAAGAATGGCTACCAAAATGGTCAAAGGACTGCATTGCAAGGGTTATACGGAAAGACTGGAATCACTGCAACCGTACTCCACACAGTACAGCCGCATTCGAGGCGTCTTGATCTTGATATATCAAATAATGCAGAATTCAGATCACCCATGTTGTCCACTCTTTTCCTTGTCGCCCATCACTCACCTGCAGGGGCGCTCATTCAAATTAGTGTTCCAAAAATGCCAACTAGAATGCCGGCGTTTTTCATTCGCCCCCAGAGTATGCATTACTTGGACTTTTCTACCACCACACGTTGTTTCTGCGCCCACAATTAATTCATTCAAGCACAAACTGGATGAAGCTTGGAAAGGTTTTAAATTTCAACATCCGCAGAAGTGCATCGAACAAGGACAAATTGTGACATTCATCTATTTTGTATGAACTGTGAATTGATTCATCTGTGCTAAACCGTATGGGACCAGAAAAGCAACCGCTTGTAAGTATTTCCCATAATAAAACTTTGACTTTAATACTGAACCATAAAACACAGTACCCTGCTATGTGAGGGTCAGAAATTGAGTTTTAAGTGTATGTTGGTGTTTTTACTTCCGATTTCAACTTCATTATTTATCAAAAAGAGGCCGCGCAGGAAATGTTTGCATATGATGGGCTCGAAACTAGTAACATCGCTTCTGTTCTGTTCTTACAACCATCAACCATGCACTTTCGTGCGCCGGTTTTGCTTGCTGTCTTTAGATTACCCATTTGGAAAAAATAGCTAAGTGAAGATTGGAATATTGAGAGCAAATTCAAGCGAAATATTGCGGATTTATATAGACTGAAGTAACAAGAATAATGAGTAGATGCATGAGCGCCAATGTTTGCGACATCTAGCCATATCGCTCAGTGTCTCTAACCATTAGTGACCATGATCTCGGGGTCCCCAGCCAGAGAGCCTAAGGGGACCTAGGTGAGCCACTCTCCTGGTCAGGGTTTTCATATCCTCATGCCAGGTCTTAGCTTGACCGCCCTTCATTTTTTCCCAACCGCTACCTGCTTCGGCAAACATCGCTCGCTGTGGCAACCTATTTGGTGACATGCTGGCACATGTCCCAACCAGCGTAATCCATGGAGGTCGACCACTTGCTCCAGAGTAACATGGTTTAGAAGCAGTACACATTAGACATACATTTTATATTTTCACACACATCTGAATTCAGATTGTGTGCCAAACAAATCATGGTACAATAATCTTTATGAAAAGAAAAACGTTCCATGATTTGCATGTGGGCCGAATACTGTCAAGTTGCCTAGGCCAAGGCAGGTGAATTCTCTTGAGAAATCGACAGCCGGAGCCTTTGGTCAACCAAAGCCTGCGGGGCGGTGTAGGAAAACCGCAATTTACTGGGGGCCGCTGTCCTGTTCATCGGATCATACACCCTTTGGACGGAGTCAAACGTCCAAAGCGCCCAATACACCTCGATCACATACAAGCCATAGCTTCAAAAAATATCCATTTTCGCATTTATTGGCGGAGCCTTCAAAGTTAACGGAGCTGTTGTATTCTGTTCGATCACTGCTGCATAGTCAATTTGATTATCTTCATTTTTACACACCATTGTCTTTCGTGCTCTGACAATATTGTGAGATAACGACTACAAAATTCCATAACACCTACTTCAAAAAACATCAAAAACTCCTATTTGGCCACGGTGGTTGAATTTGAAAGAGCAGTGAGAAACAAACACAGAAGGATATACAAACGATCTCGTGAATAATGGAGGAAGCATTTAGGTGAATGGAGAGTAGCGCTGAGTCAGATCTGTCACAACTCCATATACCCGTTTTTATTAGCAACAAAGTCCGTTCATTGTCCGGTACATCACATCCGATTTTGTTCACCGTATGGAAACTTCGAAATCAGGAGCCATTCTACTTCAAGAGATTTGGTACCATGGTGATACTGACGAGAGGATAAATAAAATCTACGGCTTCATGGGATACCGCGATAACCGTCTCGCAACCGATCGGAAGCGTGGAAGAGGCCCGTGTACTCACGTCAACAACAATTAGTACGAGAATGAGAATCGGGCATTTGCTTACTCTACTGGTTATATTTGTGCGGAGTACACGAATGCAAGCCTAGACACCTGAGTAATTACCGGTCAATTGTTTCAGCTAATATTTATATTTCCCTTGTAGATCAGAAGAATTTCTCCATTTTTCAGATACATTTTCAATCACATAACGTTTACGTAGAGCCGCGACACCAAAACAAGGAAATGTCAATGTAACCCAGATAACCTAGAGATACTCAATGTGATGGTCTCTCAGACAGACGTGCAAGGAACAGGGGTCTGTACAATATATCCGTGGTCATTTCGTTGCAGACTGCAGATAAAAAGCGTGAGATGCAGATAAGATCGCTAATCATAACGGACATGTGGACAGCATAAGAATGAGGCAAGAAACGTAAATTATGAACGATTTGACCGCAAGTGCACATCGATGAACTCAATAAAATGAATGTTAACCAGGATGATTCATCATCATAGTAGTTCTTCCTTTGAATTTCGTTCACAAAAATGTTGTAAATGTTGCGTAGGTGCCATGAAAATCTTACCCGGAACTAATCTCCTCACTGCTCAAGTGGAATAAGACATCCACTGAAGTGAAACCAAACACGTAACCTCCGATACTGACCACAGTTGGATCCCAGACAAAATGCACATTGCGAAAATGTCCAATCTGCGAATGGTTAATGCGTAGTGATGAAAGTGAGACGGCGATTAGAAGGATAATTTCATTCGAAGGAGATTGGTAATTGGTATTGGCAGTTGTTATAACTTGTATGAGTATACATGATTGCATGACAATCAAAAGGTACACGCTAGTGGGCACATGCAAAATGGCGAAAACAAACTCGTAATCAAACAGGATAGATGCAGATAAACAAAACTCTGAGACTCGAACGGAATTCGTTGTGTACAGAGCAAATGAGGAGAAAGCTGAAGAGCTAGGAAGCTCTGTACAGCTGTTCCTGCCTGACTGAATCTTATCGGCAGTGCGAATCCACCGGTCCAATACCACGTCCAACGTATCGGGGCCTTATGTGGTTCACCACTCCAAGTCCCGGGGCTTAGGTTGCCGGTTTCAACAGCAGGTCCTCGTGACTATGGGGGCAGGCCCCGTCTGCTGTTCATCACACTTAGGTGTGTAATAAAAAAAGAAATTGGGCACTCACAGGTGGAACACAAGCATACTACCCACTTGATCACCGGGCAGCTGATTGGACCGTTTTCCATTTTTCTCTCCACAGGATATAGCTTGGTACAGTAATTATATTTCGCGCATTTCCGAAATGAATTTTATTATTATGGCTTGTTTGTATTCGCATCGCCGATGAGACACAATACATGGAAGAGGGGCGAGAAAAATCAAAAGGGAATTACAAGCGGCGCTATTTTAGATTATTTGTACATTTTAAAACGAAGACGAAGCATTAGTATCTANATATCTAGTTGGCTTAGAGGCAAACTGAAGGGAACACTAGGAGATTCTCACATACAATCAAAATCGACTTAAAATGGTTGAGTTCGATCAGTTTAACCATCCGTCATATGACAACACACAACGGTACAACAATACACCCGAGTACTAATGGAAGGATTACAAACAATCTGAAAATTGCTATAGTCGGAAACTGACACAACCGAGACGCGCAAAGCATCCAACATGTTACAGTCCCCGGTATTGAACTGCTGGTAGAAGTGAAACTGTATATGATAAGCACAAGGTAATCGTGCACGGGAACACCTACCAGTTCCGTCGTCTGTTGTGTCCAGTCCGAATCGAACGGTGGAGTGGGATAGACCGGATCGTGATGTGCATCACGCCAAGATGGAACAACGATTAGTTGAACATCCAAGTGACTGCAGTATTCGGCCACTGAGTTCAACCGAGACTGAAACAATTCCTCATAAGTTGTCTCGCAATAGGTCTGCATTTTAGGGATGGAGACAAAGGATCAGAGAAATATTGCCGATCAAAGGAAATGTGATTATCCGAATGAGGCACTCTGAAGATGCAGGCATTTGGAATAAACATGTGGAACGTGAAAAACAAACTGAAAAGTTAAACAGCAGGCACTTTTACATAATTAGGAATGAACGGTAAAAAAAATCCGTTAAGAGATGAACCAGACAAAATGGATAAAAAATTTCCCCTAATTGCTTGCCAAAAACATGATTCTCTTCCTCCTATCCACCCTTAGAGAAACGATGAGCAAGAGACTGCACGCTGTCAGTTTAGACCATTTCCATCTAGCCAAACCAGGTGCACTCGTACGGGAGACAGTTTGCTGTCGAGTAAGCGGAAGGGACGAGATTTGTGATGTAGATCTGATAGGTGTTTAACAGTTCGCATACATATTGGTTTGCCCGAGTTCATGCGGTGCTCACGCAAATGAAAGTTGCCGGGTTCAGTTCATCAACTGTAAGCGGTAAGCTATCGTGCAATCTAGCCTCAATCAGCACCGTCCTGATAAGAAGAAAAACAAAACTCAAATCACGGAAGATCGTTTCTGTTCCTCTGTTAACTAAAAGTCACCGAAATTCTCCAGATCGGTAAATCAAGAGCTGTAGTGTGGAGGATGAACAATGAAATTCTACGTTTTGGACCGATTAATCAGCAATGTTGGTATTCAAACATGATCCTCGAAAGCATGCTTAAAAGCATTTTCAAAGCCAATGGAATAACTGTGATAACAGCTACAACGCAACATGATGGAGATTCCATGAACGTAACCGAAAGTAACCGGTGGCGTATCCATCAATCGAACCTTCACTCTCCACCAGTTTCTAAAGCACCGTATTTCTTTCCGAAGGTCAACGACCGAGAACTGATTTCATAGATAGAGCTGCATCAGGAAAATGGAGTACCTGAGAATTATACGCCGATCTACAAAGAGTTGCATCTTTATACTTCAGCTCAGATGGGGACCTGTGGCCAGCTCTTTACAACCTTTGCGGTTTCAAATGCAGTGCTACGAGGCTGCTCCCATTCTACCTCAACTTTACCAGAGAGGTTCTGCAATTCAGTTTTTTTTTGCTTTTTACATTTATTAGCCATGGATCTTCGTGCGCCGATTTTGGTTGATATCTTTAGGCTGCCCATTTGAATAAAACAGCAGATTGTAACGTCGAAAGCAGAGCTAACGAGGTGGTAGTACAGTAGCTTAGTCGCTGCCATAGACGGGCTTTTGACCTTTATGGTCCGAGGTTCGAGTCCCCAGTCAGCAACTTTGGTGGTAGGTAGTGTTGCTGTCATCCGGGTCAATACTACACTTAACCTAACCGGGCCTTATGTGGTTCGCAATTCCAATTCCGGGGCTTAGGTCGCCGGTTTTCATCACTGAACAGCAGGTTTTTGTGATTATGAGGTCTACTCCGTCTTCTGCTCACCACAAGAATGTGTAATGAAAGCATATCATATCGGGATAAGCCTATCAATACGAAATTATATGAAGCTCCATCCCACACATTAGTGCAGCATTCTAGGGTAGGACAACTTTCAGTTTCGTTAAGTGAAAATACGAGTCAGGTGTGGAGGAAAAATCCGATCTTGAGCATTGCGAGAGAGCTAAGCGAATAAACTCAAAGCGGTCATGAAAGAGGAAGAAGGATAGCTGTCCCGCCAAGTTCCATCAATCTGTAGACGGGGGAAATAAAAGTCAAAACTTCATGTGGGTGACAAAGATTCACGTTTGAGAGAAACGGAATTGATTGGTTTTACAGGCATAGAAGAGAAGACAGTCAATCCACACTGTTACTTTACCTAGATTGATTCTTTGCAGAGGATGAGATAAAGCAGGCTTCGTAGAGACCCGTGGTGAAAGAGCGCGATTCTAGGCTATGCACAACCAAGTACAGACTACCAGTCAACAATA